CAACCCTCTGCTGATTTTTTGGCTTACTTACTGTTTATAAACAGTAAGTAAGCCATTGACATTAAAATTAAAATGTATGTTGACTTTTTTTAATTATTTTTAATTTTCATGGTTTACCTTAGAGGCAATAAATTGTTGCCAATTGCCAATAATATTTTCAATTTCTATTTTAATATGTACGTATTTGGGAAAAACCTCAAGGGTCTGGGCTATAATCTCCAAAATTGACGTAGGCGTTTTGCCTATAGGGATTCTATATAATCCCGTTAAACAGTAGAAGCATTTTCGGGCATATAAAAAAAAGAAACAAAAAATGTATTATCCAATTGACTTATTAGTCAATAATAATAATAAACTGATATCATAAATGAACAATGAAGGGATAAGTAAAAGAGGAGTACGCTTTTCTCTTTAAACGTCCGTGCATCGGCCAATACCTTCCGGCTTGCGAAATCGCCGATATTCGCTTGCTGGCGTTCCGCAAAGAAGCCAATGCACGAAGGTCCCAGGGGCGCGCAAGCGTGCCCCCCGTCACCCCGCCGCCCGCTGTCATTGGCCTCTTGCACGGCACGGAGCTACTCTTTCTTACCCATACGAGAACACGTTCCTGAAACACGTTTTGCCCCCAACTTCCACCACGTTACGTAACAAGCTGTTGGCCGTTTAGATGTGCACTCAGCAGCTGAATTACTGCAGGTTTTAATATCCCTAAGCAATGTCATGAAACTATCTCTCTAAAAATGAATTAGTCAAAAATGACTAATTCATTTTCATTCAATTCATTAATAGTTTTTAGTGCAGCCATGGCTGCTTTTTCACTTGTACCATCGTTAACCATGGAATACCATGGTATCCCAAAATTTAACAGCCAATTCTTATGTAAAATTGTCTGAATCCGAAAATACCGTCAAAAATTATGAAAGTGGAAAATTGACTATATCTCAAAAACTGTTCTACTTTTTTAACTTTTGGCAACATTTTCGGATTTAGGGGACAATTTTACATAAGAATTGGTTGTTAAATTTTGTGATACCATGGTATTCCATGGTACAATTGAAAAAGCAGCCACTAATAACTATTAATTTTTTTGACTAATTTATTTTTAGAGAGATTATACCAAAAAATATGTTTATTATGGGAGTGGAAATTTGCCAAGTGAGCTCATGATTTTCTACGTTCTAATAAAAATTAATCATATATGAAGTCACATTATATATATAATGTGACTTTACAGTTTTACTAGAATCGATTAATATTTTTTTTTAGTTATACTAATTAGTATCAACTTAAGTTGCCTAATAGAAAACAAAAAACAACAATAAGGTACGATAATTAATTGTTGTTTTTTGTAGGTCCTATAGGACTTTGAAAACTAGTCGTTTTTTGACTAATTCATTTTTAGAGAGTATACTCTCTAAAAATGAATTAGTCAAAAAACGACTAGTTTTCAAAGTAAAAGAGCAGTCACTAATAACTGTAGTCCACAGCAATTTGTATCCCGGCATTTATACCCTGAATCCGAAAAGACCGTCAAAAATTATGAGAGTAGAGCAGTTTTTAAGATATAGTTAATTCCATATTATATGGAAAATTGACTATGTCTTAAAAATTGTTCTACTTTTATAACTTTTGACATTTTCAGATTCAGCGGACAAATCCTATAACAACTGAAATACCAGTTCACGCACAGCACTAATGTTTGCTGGGACAACGAATGATTTTTTATTTTTTGGAGGACTTTATAACGTATAAGTTATAAGGTCACAAACTTTGTCGGTAAGCGATCACCGATATAAAGTGTCATGAGATGGAGTTTTATCACCATTAAGTTTATCACTGTTGTTAAGTTAATCCTCGTAGAGTTCTGGATGGTCAATTGACACGAGTGTAAAAAGCTAAACATGGCAGGCTAAAGCCAGACGCCTGGCAACCATATCGCTGACCTTTCAAAGTGATACATCGCGATATCGCAGTACAACAATAACTTATTGTTTTATTTAATTTTATTTTGGTCAATTGACCAAAAACAATGTGACCGGTCAATTCCACAACCCTAAATCCACGTCGATAGTTGTAAAAAAATATCGCACGGAAATGTTCACGATTCAATTCCATTTTTTGGTTGAGATGAATTGTTTAAGTCAGTGGGTCATTTTTAGTCAGATCAAACACAGTTCACCACACAGACATACCAGACAGATTTTCCTCAAATTTTGTGTAGATGATAATATATTATACAAAAAAAAAATTATTAAATTTTTTTAATTTTTTACAGGATGTACGATTTTTTTCTTTAATTCCTTAAATAATTTCTTACCTGTAAAGGATATTAAAGTAAAATTTTGTTTCTGAGAGTGTTTTCCATTGTTTTTGCATGATCGCGATCATGCAACGCGTTGCATTTTCAAAACAAAATTTAATTTTTTGTTTGATCAAAATTACATGTTTTAAATTTTCATATGTAGTAAAGATGGTACCTAAATTTTCATATGTAGTAAAGATGGTACCTATACCACTACTTGGCTTTCCGACTAGGAGCTAAGAAGAAAATTCTTATTAAATTAATTCTGATTATATTTTTAAAATTACAAATAACAGGGTGGTACTAGGTTTATACCAAAGAACGCTAAAGTTACCCTTATAAACAAACTTTTACTTAAATAATTTGTCCAGGTTAAGGAGTTAACTTTTTACATGTAATAATGCATTATTGTGTATACACAATTTGATGTGGAATGACCCCACTGTAAAAAAAATTGTGGTCATAAATAGGCTAAACATATCCGTTAAAATGTTTAAAACTTAATTTAATTCTTAAGACAACAATTTTATTTAAATTGAACCCTACAATTTTTTATTTTTTTACACTTTCAATTTTACAATAGAAAAACTGTTTTAAAAATAAACTTCAAGTATCAAAATATTTATATTTTTTTTTTATTTATAACTTACACATTTACAAAACTAGGAATACTTGTTATTAAAGCTACTACAACTATAACAACCGTCAAGAGTCTTGAAAGATAGGCCAAAACTTGTCACTTTGATTTAAATTTGCAATTGTCATTTTTTAAGGCATTGGCCAAAACTTTATTTTTCTATTTATTCCTAAATCATAATATTCCTTCTTTTGCTACCTACCTCTGTTAGGGGTCCTGAAACCTGAACAGCTTGACCGATTAAGGCCATATTAAGGCCATATTCCCACAATATATTTGTTTTGTCGGGACGATAATAGCTGTGCTTGGATTCGTTAGGTGGCGCTAGTCACGTTATTAACAAAATCTATATAAATTAATTTATCCCGGCGCATTCGCCATTTTTGCAACAAAAATTATAAATACTACTAATTAATTATTAATCCCGCTTAAAGTTGACCCCCTCTATTATTTTCCTCATTCTTAGAATATTTTTGTCAAACAAAAACCTTAAGAAATTTCTTGATTAATTTTGTATAGGTATATTTTTTTAATATGAGATCAAATTTTAAATAATGTTAATTTATACACCACATAAAACAAGGGCGGTTCTGGATTTATTAAATCCTACTTGGCTCAGGAGAAATGGAATTATTTTATGGCCAGTCCGGAGCCCGGATCTTAATCCGCTTGATTATTTTCTTTGGGAAACTCTTAAAGAAAAGATTTACGATAAACCATCTCCAGGAGTTAATCGTCGAAGAAATACATAATTTAAATAATTTTAATTTATATGAAAAGATTATATTTAATTTTATTAAAATATGTAATATTTGCATAGAAAATAATGGGTCTACAGAAAACTTGTTATATCTTAGTTACAATTTAATATTTTGTTATTCTACTAGTAGTTATTAAAGCTTATTTTTTATACAAGCCAGTGTAGCATAAAAATCATAGCTTGCTTATTGTTTAATTTTTCGGTACAAGTAAGCGTAGTATTTTTGCGCTTAATATGTCATACAATAACTGCTATTTGAGAAGTAAATATATAAGATATATTTTTGAATTCACCTTGCAATTGTTAACAATCTATCGAACTGTAAAAAAACATTTTTGGACAGCCCTGTATAAATTAAAATTATTTAAAATTTCACATCATGTTTTTAGAATAAGGAAAATAATGGGAGGTACAACTTTAAGCGGGACACCCTGTACATATTATGTATGTATACATAATATGTACAGGGTGTCCCGCTTAAAGTTGTACCTCCCATTATTTTCCTTATTCTAAAAACATGTTTGTCAAACAAAAACCTTTCTTGATCAATTTTTTATTTATTCTTTTATACCTATAGGTATGTATAGTATATATATGTTATGGTTAATGTGCAAACTTGGATAGTTTATAAACTAGCTGGATACTTTATAAACTAGCCAAACTGTCAGCTATTTTAATTGAAAATATATTTTCAAGTATAGTTGAAAATATATTTATAAATTTATAAATTAGCGGCTAGTTTACAAAATAACCAAGGATCTTGGCTAATTTACTTGAAATTATTAGGGAAACTAAAATAGCTGGATAGTTTGTATACTATCCAATTCAGTTTGGCTAATATGAAAAAATTTCTAGTAACACAAAATAGCCAAGCTTTAGCTAGTTTGTAAACTAACCAACTAATTCTCTGGCTAATTTATTAAAAAAGTGAGGTTACGGCATTGTTTTTCGTTTTGCCGGCTTAACCGGATTTGTTTTGTGCATTTTAACGTTTTAAAAATGAATCATATGCAAAATTTTAACGCTTCCTTGTTAGAAAACTCAACACAACCCTACCGACCCCGCCCCATTGTTACTAGAAATTTTAGTTTTCATATTAGCCAAATTTAGCCCTATTTTAGTTTCCCTAATAATTTCAAGTAAATTAGCCAAGATCCTTGGTTATTTTGTAAACTAGCCGCTAATTTAGTTGAAAATACATTTTCAATTAAAATAGCTGACAGTTTGGCTAGTTTATAAACTATCCAACTTTAAACATTGGAGTTTTAGCCGTAACATATACAAATAAAACAATGTTTTACCTTTTCTCTGCGTTACTCAATATTGCCTTTCTATTGGGAACTTTTACTATGGAAGCCTGTAAAATAAAAAAAATAACTTTAAGTACAGGGTGGCCAATGTATAAGTGACTGTTATACCTTACTATAAATACTATTAAAAAAAGACGTTTAGAATTTCATTAAATGCAGTATACTGCAGTATGCAGTATATATTTATATTCCTAAATTCTTAAACCAACCACTGTTATTGTGATACTATAAAGATTTATACATTTTTAACGCTTTTAAGCGTTTAAAAACATAAGCAGCTTACAGCTGCTGTAAAAGTATAAATATTATTTATTTCGTTGACTATACTTTGACAGATACATAACCTGAAAAGCCTTAAATGACAAATTATCAAAAGACTGCGTTCCGTACGTAGTCACGTGGTGGGACTTGAAGGTGTGGAGCATCGTACCTACTGATTAGTTACTTTGTGGTTACTTTTCTTTAGTTAATGTCAAAAAACGACAGTTGACATAACAGATGCAACTTTTGACATCTTTCACCTCTTATAAATATATTTATGACAACTGTCATCGTTCATTTTAAAGGAAAGTAACCAAAATGCGTGAATTTTTTCTAAATTTTTACTGTTAATTTCCTAAACATTGTTTACGTAGGTACTGTATTTAAATTTTGGATTTTTTAAATTTGATTCTATTATAGACCCCCAAAACCTAAACTTCTACAAATAAAACCTATACATTTATTGCTTTTTAATGCGCGAGTAATAAAATAAAATGATTTCCTTGTAAGTAGGTATTCCACCAATGCAAATGTGTTATCGGTGAAATCGTTATGGCAACTTGCCCTTACTTATAAATTATAATTTATAATGCTGTTATAAATAACGTAGAGTTTTAACTTGTAATTAAAGAACAATCTTCTGATGAACAGATTTATAATTGCTCATGCGAACAGGCAACCAACACACATCCTGTTTAGATGAAAATATATGGTGAGTTATTAGCTCATTTTACTTCCTGTTACACATTCTGGAAGCGTGTTTTTTTTCGATTTGCGTGTTAGACTAAAGTCTGTAGACTATTCAAACCAGTGGCGGCTCGTCAGGGTAGGCCTCTGAGGCCTTACCCTTAAAATGAAGGAACAAACGACTTTTTGGCTTTTTGCCTAATACAAGTGTATTTTAACAAGAGTTACAATCAATTATTATACTGAGTAAATAAAAATCCAGGCGCAAAGCGCGTCAAGTTTACGCGGTCAAACCCACTACATCGTTAAGAGTCGGCAGGCGAATTATTCACAGCTTAAAAAGCTCCTATCTAAATGCGAAATATATCAGCCAAGTTCGCCACGAACTGTTCGCGCCTTTCTATTGCTTTGAGGCATTTTAGTGTGCTTCCCAGCGTGTATAGAGTAGGTGTTCTTGATTTGATTCATGCAGATTAAATTATTTATAGTTTTTGTCTCGATTAGTGGAATTTCTTATTTTATTATTGTGGTGTACTGGGGAACACACTACACAGATAAGGTAGATTTAGCAGTTTTTAAATTAAGCAACAAGTTGAATTGAGTTTTATTTAAAGTAACCAGTAAGTTTGCTTTAGTTAAATTTTACAGATTTTTTTAAATGAATCCTGTTCATGACGTTATTCTCTTAATAATTAGAAACGAAACTGAAAACTCCAAAAACTTCAGCAATATTTAACGATATGGTACGAAACCTATAAGTGGTTATGCGGAAGTATACTTATATACGAGGTGTGTTCTAAAAATATCGGGAATTTTCGTTTTTTGAAACAAATATTTATTTATTCGTCTACATTAATGTTGTCGCCTTCAAAATAGTCCCCATTGGATATTATGCACATGTGCCAGCTCTTCTTCCAATACTCGAAACACTTCTAAAACTCGATCTTTGGGATAGCCTTTAGTTCTTTCAGCGATGCGCTTTTAATGTCATGACATGCATCTATGCTTGCAAAACGACGGCCCTTTAAGGTTCTCTTTATTTTTGGGAATAGGAAAAAGTCAGACAGAGGCATGTCTGGCGAATATGGAGGCTGGGGCATCATTACAGTATTGTTTTTGGCCAAAAATTTTATTCAAAATTTAACAATTTTGGAAAAAATTTAGCTGCCACGCGTTTCATATCCAAAACATTCAAAAAAATTCCATGGGATGAGCCAGCGACTTCTCTGATGGTTTATAACCATTTCTTCCACTTTTTTCATGTTTTTATCGGTTGTTAATGTGCTTGGGCGTTCGGGGCGTTCGTCATCTTCAACGTCTTCATGGCCATCTTGGAAACTCTTATACCACTTGTAAACTCTTGTTTTACTTATAGCAGACTATAGTCTATATATAGGCCTTTGTTAACATTTCACAGAATTTAAGCAAAATTGGCTACAAATTCTTTGATCTATTTCTTTCGAACGAACGGAAATCGCCGAGCTCATAAAACACGTCTAACCTTAGCGGCTTGCACAGACAAAGTAAACAATGAAAACAGCTAAAGTTTTTATCATACTTCGGGGGCATGTAAACCAACATAATAAATTTTTTTTATGACAACCGGACCCTCCGAACCCGCGAAATTTAACAATTCCCGTTATTTTCTGAACACACCTCGTATACTATATATTTATAAAAAAGCTTATTCTGTTGGCCTTGTATTTTATTAGTCCGCGTCAAAAACAATTGCAGTTCAGAGGGTGGGTATTCCGATTGCTCTGATATTTTATTTGTATATTTTTATCCATCCATATAAATATATTTTTAAGTTCTATAGATATATATTTTAAAGTGTTTAAAAACGAATTTATGTTTCGCAATTTGGGTTAAGATTGTTTTGATATTTACGTTGTTTAGTTTTTTTAGTTACTTTTTTTATTTATATATAATCGTTTAGTAGGGCTATCGGCCATTTTAAAACAGGTCAACACGTCGCAAAATAATACCTCCCGGGTGAGGTGGAAATTTATTCGTATTTAGACAAAATTAACCTCATGTAGCCTCACCCTTCTATACACCCACGAGCCGCCACTGATTCAAACGCTTGCACACGAAGCTCTGAGAATATCTGAACAATGTTATCGCACCTAGGAATTTAGTTTGCAATCTCAATAGTAAGAGAAGCAGTTGGAAACATGTTAAAAGTGTTGTTAATTTAATCAAATGTTTCTCCCTCATAAAACTGGGTACCTGTCATAATCAAATACCACAAACTTTATATCTAATACCTACTCGTATAATACTTATAATAAGCATTTTTAATAAAAAGTACTTTTTGACTACCAATACATTGTTGTTACCAATGCAAATATGTCTGACTATTCCAGTGCAACTTAATTGTTCCACCCACAAATAAATATTTGTGCAGACTGCATAAACCTTGTCGCAAAATATAAATACTGTAGTAGCAAAAGTGTTCGCTGGCGCCATTTTAACATATTATGCTTGTAATCATTTCTTTCAGTGAAGAGCCAAAAAAGGAGTTATGCATAACTTTACATGTAAATAAAACAAAGAATTCTTTAAAAAAAAATTTTTAATGTTTATAAACATTTCCGATATATCGGTATCGGCGATATTAATTTTCAGTATCGTCGATATATTTTTTTTTAATTTTGCGCCTAAATATATTTCTAAATAGATTTATGCATTTGGAAAGGTACAAAACTGATTATTAGTTTATTATAGTTAACAGTTAAAAAACTTAATTAATAATCAGTTATGTATATTTTCTAGTGCATAAATCTATTTATTTAGGCTCAAAATTTAAAAAAATATATCGACAGTGTCTTTAAAAGTTAAATAGTAGTTCATTTTTAAAACTATAAAATTAACATCTTAATATTAAACAATAAAACTGGCAATTATTTAAAACTTCATTTTAATTGCGCGTTAAAAATCAAATATTTTAATAAATCAAATATCGCACGGAATATTCAACCGAGTTTGTTTATACTATAGTCTATATAGTCCTATATCGGTATCGGTATCGATATCGGCGATACCTTTGTATAAATATCGGTATACCGGTTTTAAAAGTTTTGATACAAACACAATCTTCGCTTACCATAAAAAAAAATCGGAGCCCATGTCTGCAGACCATGTGAAAGCAAATGGTAGAAACCGAGCTTATTATATATTATTTTTAGGGATGCCGCGATACGGGTTTTTGCCGATACGATATATCGATATATCGTATCGGCAAAAACCCGTATCGCGGCATCCCTAAAAATAATATATAATAAGCTCGGTTTCTACCATTTGCTTTCACATGGTCTGCAGACATGGGCTCCGATTTTTTTTTATGGTAAGCGAAGATTGTGTTTGTATCAAAACTTTTAAAACCTACAGAAAATAAAACAGTAAACACTGATGCGCAGAACAGTAATCCAATTAATATTTATTAATATATAAATTGGATACAATTTGAAATCATACAATTTATAATAAAACCACACAACAGCAATTATTGCTCAAAATATTGCTCAATATTTTGCACATTAAATATAATTTCGGATAGGTAGGTACACTGTTATAAAAATCAGATTTGTTAACATGACTTTGTTGTTTGTTAACTTTATTTTGTTCGTCAACATCTTTTAAAAGGTTTCTATTTTAAAATAAAAGCAAGTCATTTGAAATAATTGTATACAATATTTATAACGCTAATAATTGAATCGGTGGGATTAAGAACAGTAAGTACAAGTCCAAAAGTCAAAATTTTGACAAAATATTTCAAAAATTTAGTTTTATAATTCTAAATGCATTTTTGTGGGAATATTTTAACTATTTTATAAAATATAATGTTCATATTCTGTAAAATGATTTATATCTTTTCACAAAAATGTATTTTAAACTTTAAAATTGATTTTAAAAAATGACTTGTCAAAATTAAATTTTTGGACTTGTACTGTTTTTATTCTCAATTTATAATTTGCTATTAATATAACCTAAGATAATAACACGCAAAGCAGACTCAGTATGCGGCGCAGAGCACAGAACAATATGCGCAGACTGCGCCGCAGACAACGCATAGCGGAAAGGTGCGGGCAGAAAC